TTGGATAAGAAGGTTGATACCACTAGCATGTCTTTACATCAAGTATGGAGCTAAATCAACGCAATTAGCTTACAGCAGCTTAACATAGCATGTCCACCAAGACGTTGTTTCACCACGTAACTAAGTTATGTATTTCAAATCTCTTATCATTCCATTAGATACAATATTTCTGTTTTCTATTTTAAGCAATGTTTGTCAGTTTAGTTTAACAACATTTAACATCAGTGTGTTGGTGTGTGTGTGTGTGTGTGTGTGTGTGTGTGTGATGCTGTGACTAGCAAATAGAAATATGGGGATGTCAAATAAGATTTCAGTATGTTATATATTATTCTAAATACATTTTATATGAATACACATAATAGTAATAGTTTCTCTATTTTATTTATATTTTATTATTATTATAATATTGTTTTTGCATTTACCCTCATCTTCCATCAAAGTATTTCCCCAGTCCCCACTTTGACACTGCCATAGTCAACGCACAGACACAAGAGCGGTATCAACCTTCTCATCTAACTCTTGTCAAGTAGGCAAATAAGCATATTTCCTAAAATGTTGAACTATTCCTTAAAAATAAATAAATAAATAAATAAATCCATATGATAATAACATTTTAGACTAACATGGATAAAATTCCTGTGTGTTTTTTAAAAATAGAAAACAGAAATTAGCTCTAGTTATATGGCAGCTGTTTTTGGCAGCAGGAAGGAAATTACTTTAAATGTGTGCTTTCTGCCAGCTCTAATTCTATAGAGTACAGTATATGACCCTTCATTATGGGTGGCAACCCCCCAGTAGTCTCCACTCACAGAGGTGAATAGGCTAATCCATATTTATTTTAAATGGGTGCCATCTGTTGGAGTCGGCAGGATGTCAGATGGAATAAGCATTGGTAATGTGTGTGTGTGTGTGTGTGTGTGATTGCGGATCTCAGCTGGACAGAGTCGTGAGGCGTTGATGACTCTACTGCACAGGCGTGTGTGTGTTTGCACTCCTGATCTCAGCTGGGTGGTGGATTGGGACAGTGATGGATACGTGTGCGTGTGTGTGAAATTTGTTGCCGGGTTGAGTAACACCGCGGGGATGTGAGATGGCAGCGGCGTGATGGACCGTTCGTGTGCCTGTTCGTGTGTATGTGTATCTAAGTGCTAGGATACCTTATCTAAGCCAGGGTTTGGTGTTGTGCGAGACGTGTGAAAGAGGGATTGCTTGTTTATATGACCTTGTTCGTTATCTCACTGGGCTTTGTAATTCCTCTGCTGATTTGTCGAAAATAAGTGGGCTCCAGAGCGTACAGTGTGTGTGTGAGTGTGAGTGTGTGTCTCCGTTTCTCTGTTTTCTGCAGAAATGAGGCCCGACTACTGGGCTTCTCTGTGTACTGTATGTTATGAGCCTCAACATGGATGCAGAGTTGCTTTCGTTTGGACTCCCTGCGATTCACTTGTCAGCTGTAATTTGTAAAGGTCTCTTTTACTGTGACCGGCAAAGACCCATAAAGCCCCTGAGTTGCACACTGTTTGCATAAAAGATAGAAGAAATGCCACTTTGAGGAAAAAGGCGATGCTGTCTGGCCTATTTCAGATGAAAAATCCTCTCTTTGAAAGATTGCCCATGGGAAAAGTTAGGTTGCTCTGAGTACAAAGGGTTTGTTTGTCTCGCTATTGTATTGTCCCAATTTGTTCTTACAATTTGTTCTTCACAAAACCACAATTTGCTCCTATCTAATGATGCGCTTTGATAATGGCAGTCCAAGGTGCTGAGGTTAAGACGATTAAAAGCTGTTTCTTGTTTTTCTCAGCGAGGTGTCAGTGCCCTCCGTTATCATCCTCAACACATCCAACGAGCAGTACTTCCTGCCCAGTGAGCCGATTGAGACCATGGAGCAGCTGGTCCAATTCATCAACGGTGTTTTGAACGGCTCTGCACAGGTCCAAATCTTCTCCTCTTTCCCTCCCTCCTCTCCCTCTCCTCCTGCTTTCTGTTTATGCATTCAGCTCAGTATAGCTCTCCCTCCCCCTCCTTTTCCCCTTGTGTTGTACCACTGTAATCACACCAGTAGTTCATTAATCAAGCATGTTGCATTGCATTTTAAGTCGTCCCTGGAAAATATTTTCACCAGATGAGGTATTTTTGCAATCTCCGTTTGCATGTTCAGATTTCATATTCCTTTCCTTTCTCAATAGATTATCTACCATAATTCTGTCTCCTAAGTCAAACACGGAAATTACTACATGACTCTGTATTGTAGTGTGTACACTAATCTGGAAAAGAAATGTCATCGCTTTCTCTGTACTACACTGAAGCCACCAGATGTATGAAACCATAAGCCAAACAGCCAGAGGTCTTGTCCTTTTTTCCAAGAAAGGTCTGGTCTATTTTTTGCTAGGTAAAACAAACCAACTCCCACCAAATAAACAGCAACAGAAACCTCCATGTTTCTGCTGTCCAGTTCTGCCAAGGCCTGGACAGTTTCAGCCTCTTTACATCATGCTGGTAATGCCTGCCGTGAGGTGTCTCAAGGCTGATTTGTGCTGCATGTAGAAACACACAGAATAATATGAGTTAAATGCAATTGAATCTAAAATAAAGTTTTTGGTTCAAAAAGTAAAAAAAAGTAACTGTTATTTTTGTTAACTTTTTCTTGAGGAAAAAATAGTTTAATTTTTTTATTGTTTTTAATAAGAAGCATGAAAAGAATGAATGAATTAATTATTTTATTAATTATTTTATTAATTAATTAAGGTACACAGACGGCGTGTTAATCCTTGCATGAAGCATAAACCAGCCAGAGGAGGAGACAGTTGGCAAGCTGTGGCGTCTCTCTAGCAGGTTTATAGTGAATAGATAAATTTTTTTAAAGTTTAATCCTCACTCACTGCTCTTGTGGTACATAGGCTGGCTTCAATTTTTAAGTCCTTTGCAATTAAGAAAGAAGAACTCCAACGATGTGCTGTAAAAAATGTTTGTAAAAACTTCTCAAACTACTTGTGCAGTCCGTGCAACAGCTCCTTCCACAGAAATCATCTCATGCCCACTTTCAGCTCATTCACAGAAGGCCTGCTTAGTCAGTGCTCACTAATTGGCCATCCTGACGAATTAGCGTCGGGACAGATCACTCATTGGCTGCCCGGGTGCTTTTGCCAATAAATGAGCTCAGGCAGAGTCGAACCACTGGACACTGAACAAACGAGAGTCGGACACATCAGATAATTTTGTGCAGCGGAGCGGTTAATTAAACAATATTCAAAATGCCTGCGATGTACTGACCATATGACTGGGTGCCTGAGACTTAAAAGATAATTCTGTGTGCATACTGCGTGAGTAGTTTAGAAGTTTTTATTGACATGTTGATAATTGTTTTGTTATTTAGGTATTATTCCCAAGTAATTGCATCAAATTGTACATGCCAAGCTGGTGAATATGAAATAATTGGGATGGAGTTGACACAGTAGCTCCCCTGTGCCCATTAAATGATCTGTCTCCCTGCAGGCGTATGGAGGCGATGGCGTCATTCAGAGGATCAAACGCGTGGCCTTTGATGCCAGATCCACCATTATGGTAAGTTGGGGAGATTTTATTCTAGGCTGCTACATGTAGACGGCCCGAAAATATATAAGTTTTTGAAGTTTAACATGCTGAAAAAGTTTTGTGTCATATTAATATCATTTGTAGTTTAATTAAATTCAGTTAGGTGATGAGGTAAATATCTGGCTTTTCAGCTGCTAAATGCTCTGCTATGTTTACCAGCTCACTTTGTCTGCCATTTGGTGCTGGAAAGGTAGCGTACAGTGAGTTTAGCTTGGAAACAGTGTTGATGAGTGGAGTGAGAGTGAACAAAAACAGTATAATTGCAGCCCATAAACCAAAACAATGAGTTAGTTCTCCCTAGAACTAATGAGAACTGCAGACTTGCATGATAAATCTCTTTATCGCCCTTTAACATTACACACCCATCTGACCCATTGTTCATATGAAAAGATTTTGATTAGTGCAGCTTTAAGGTCTATTTTACATTCATTTCAAGCTAGTATTTTGCCCTAATTTTGATTGTTTATAGTGACCTGCTACCCAACTGACGTACCTCGGTCTTTCTTTAGCCTCTACAGTTAAACCACTAATTATTATACTGCTGAACATCTTGTACTTGTTGATATGCTTCACACCATGCCTCACCTTGACTGTGTTTACCAATTTAGGGTAAATACTGTATGTATGCAAGCTGCGCCAAGTTCAGCAACACTGTAAAACAATTGCCTGGGTGCCCCGCTCTTTCCCTCTGGGAGAAAAATAACATTCAGAGGACAAGACAGGGAGTACAACTGAGAATATGCAATGCAGGCTGTAAACACAGTGTGGGGAAAGAGAAACAGGCAACAGAGCAGGAGGAGGTGGAGTGATTAGGGAGGAGAGGAGGTCATGAGACTGAACTTCTGAGGCTGAGCTTCTCCTCCCACTTCTACTCTAAGTAGTTGGATCTTTTGGGAAAACTGTTTTATTTCTATATTTATTTATTTTTTACCAAGGTTGTGATAGGAATGTAAATGCAGCTGTTTTGTAATTCTACTCAGTTGGCACATTTCCACTGTTAAGCCTAACAACGTCGTTGAAGGCATGTACTACTGAAAAATAATTATGAATTTCATTCAAGAAAATGTCCAAATAGAAGGTATAGTGAATTAACCTTGAGGTACGAAGAAAGGCTTTCAGAAATACCTATATTCAAGGTTTTTTAGTTTTCAGGCCAGGTTTGACAGTTGG